TCGGCTGTACTTCCCTGAACTTCATCAGAACTTCCCTGAACTTCGGCAGGACTTCTCTGAACTTCGGCAGGACTTCGCTGAACTTCAGCATGAGTTCCCTGAATTTTGACAGGCCTTCCCTGAACTATAGCAGGACTTCTCTGAGCTTCGGCAGAACTTCCCTGAACTTCAGCAGGACTTCTCTGAACTTTGACAGGACTTCCCTTAACTTTGGTAGAACTTCTCTGAACTTCTGCAGGAGTTTTCTGAACTTTGGCAGGAGATTTCTTTTATATGGCTTCCTCAATCTAGGGTAATCCATCTCCATACGTAAAAGTCGAAAAATCTAATTAATCACTTCGGCGGGAGTTCCCTGAACTTCGGCAGGCCTTCCCTGAAGATTGGTAGGACTTTCCCGAAGTTCGGCAGGCCTTCCCTGAACATTGGTAGGACTTCCCTATAGTTCGGAGAAACGTCCCTGAATATCGGCTGTACTTCCCTGAACTTCATCAGAACTTCCCTGAACTTCGGCAGGACTTCTCTGAACTTCGGCAGGACTTCGCTGAACTTCAGCAGGAGTTCCCTGAACTTTGACAGGCCTTCCCTGAACTATAGCAGGACTTCTCTGAGCTTTGGCAGAACTTCCCTGAACTTCGGCAGAACTTCTCTGAACTTCGGTAGAACTTCGCTGAACTTCAGCAGGAGTTCCCTGAACTTTGACAGGCCTTCCCTGAACTACAGCAGGACTTCCCTGAACTTCATCAGGAATTTAATGATTTCCAAGAATTGAAATGAAAGGGTTTCCCTGAACTTCAGCAGCCCTTCCTTGGACTTCGGCAGAACTTCCCTGATCTTCGGCAGAACATCTCTGAACTTCGGCGGGACTTCCCTGAACTTCAGCAGGACTTCCTTGAACTTTGGCAGGACTTCCCTTAACTTCGGTAGAACTTATCTGAACTTCGGCAGGAGTTCTCTGAACTTCGACAGGAGATTTCTTTTATATGGCTTTCTCAATCTAGGGTAATCCATATCCATACGTAAAAGTCGAAAAATCTAATAAATCACTTTTCCTGAACTTTGGCAGGACTTTCCCGAAGTTCGGCAGGCAATCCCTGGACATTGGTTGGACTTCCCTATAGTTCGGAGAAACTTCCCTGAATATCGGCAGAACTTCCCTGAACTTCAACAGAACTTCCCTGAACTTCGGCAAGGCTTCCCTGAACTTCGGAAGGACTTTCCTGAACATCGGCAGGACTTTCGGCAGGGCTTCCCTGAACTTCATCAGGACTTCGCTGAAGTTCAGCAGGCCTTCCCTGAACTACGGCAAGACTTCCCTGAGCATTAGTAGGACTACCCTGAACTTGGAATCTTGGAATTGAAGGTGTCATTTCAGTAGTAGAATTATTATAATTATACAATAATATTGTGTTTACGAATATGTTCAAAAGAGTGTTCACTCGGCTGTCGACAAAAGCAGGCCACTCTCGATGTGTGCTACGCGATCGTCTGTTTTCTCGGCAGCAACCATTGTGTGGTCCTCCTCATTCTTCTTCATCAGCAGTTCTTTCGGTCGATGCGTCGTCGACTTTGGAAAGCAACCGTTGCGTGATAAGTGTGTGAGAGCTGACCACGTTTAGCATCCATTGCTGCAATGGACGCGCTCTGACTTTCGTTGGCGTACAACAATTTGCCATACAATGAAACTACTGGAAGCGGCTCCAGTTCTGATGGAGGAGGCTTTTTGGATAGCGGAAGATAAAGTGTTGTACCTTTTGACTATAGTTTCAAGATGTATTGTAAAGTGACCAAAAATCCTCGGCTCTGTAAAGTTAATTCGGTTGAGCCTTATCAAATAAATTAATAAACAAAAAAATATGTTCAAAATTTCAATACTTCCCATTTTTCTAATTTGCAATGCTTGTTGGTATTGGTGCATTTCGAATTTGGATGTGGTTTGAACTGGTGTAGATTCAGTATCAACGGAAAAGCATTAACTTTCACCTTACTGATGGGGAAAAGCCACAATGGCGTAAAAACTCCACATCTTTTCACAATGCACAAAACAAAATACAACTTAAGAACATACCTAACATTCAACAAACAAGATGTCAACAGCAGTCAGAAGCATAAAACTATGTTATTGGTATGGTCCATCGTTGGAAGCAAACTGTTGCGTAATGTAATTTAGCCCATCAATAAACGTCGAGTTGTTCCAATTTTCAGTTCAGTTCATCCCTCGTGCAGACTTCGTTGAATTCGGTTACAAAACGTCGTGAAAGCGGTTATAATTAGCAGTCATGAATTTGATTGGATCATGTAGGAAATTCTTTGTTCGTAATGATCTTTCAGGGACATACTGGGAGAGGAGCGGGACATTTTGCCGAAGGTCGTTTCGCCGAATGGATCATTTCGCCGAAGAGCAAGCCATTTTCTACGGTTTTGAACTTTTCTCAAAGCTCAGTAAATTTTGAAATCAGTCTCGAAAAAAGATTAAGAAGGTTAGACTTTCTCAACCTGGCAAGCTATTCAAATCTAATGTTTCCTTCTTTTGAACATGAGCAGTTCTTTCGAGTTGTGCTGATTTCAGAAATTTTTAAATAATGTATATGGGGGAAATAGTTGTAATGTCGGCCTAAATGCCCCTAATTTTTTGGAGATGGGCCCAATCTTAAAACAATCCATAGGCCAACATTAGAGCCATTTCCCAAATTTGATTTATATGCTTCCTTATTTAAAACATGAGCAGTTCATTCAAGTTGTACTGATTTCGTTATTTTCTAAATAAGCAATATTTATAGGAATGCTTCCTTCTTTTGAACATGAGCAGTTCTTTCGAGTTGAACTGAATTCAGAATTTTTAAAATAATCACTATTTTTGATTTATAGGAATTCTTTATTCTTTTATGAGCAGTTCTTTCGAGTTGCTTTACATGGGAATATTTATTATTTAAATGTGTTCCAAATTAATTTTAAGTGTATATTGTTTCATGATTAAAATTCAGCGAAATGACCCATTCGGCGAAATGACACAGCCCCGCTGGGAACTTATTATTTGAATGGATCACCCTAATGTTTGGCACATTGATTGACTAAAATAAATGATTTGATGACCTAATGATTGACCAAAATAAATAAAAATAAAATTTTCCGAAGGCACTTTTTATGCCTATAGTTAATTGTTTTTTAGAAACTATTTATTTCACCTAAATACGGTTTCTGGACCCCTGTGTTCATGTCATTTGATTTGTGAGTTTAACGTGTTAGTTTTCATCGATCAGGATGAGAAATAATGATGCCATTGAAGTTATCTAATCATATTTATTGAATTCCTTGGCAGATCAAAATGTCATGCTTTGTTAAAAAATATACAGTTTTCAAACAAAATTTCCTTCTCCAACACTGCACAACATTCAATTCTCGTTGGATTATCCTGAAATCTTGCATTTGTAGCAAAAATCTGACTATGAATCTAAAAAAAAAATATTATAAAAATAACTTTAAAAATTTAAATTTTGACCGGTTTTGCCCCACTGTGCGACTGGACAATAGTCTAAGGTTTCTAGAATAATTCTGTTTCACCAACTCAAGTAAAGCAGAACCACTGATTGGTTTACAATACCGTGAATCCCCGGAAATCTGATTGCTTTTAGGCTGAACACTTGGCTGTATTTGAACCCCACTTGTCGGCACCTCGTTCAAACTAAAAGTACAGCAATCTCACCTTTTATGCGCTATTGATAGGCTGTTCTTCAACCAATTGAGCTGATTTTCTGTAGTTGACACTTAACACATTCGTAATTGGTTGAAGTGCAACAGAGAACCAGCGGTGGGTGGACGATAGTACCCACCGTATAAATGGAGGGATTACTGTAGCTCAAACGTCGTTTAACGCATGAAATGCATTGAGAAGGAAAGGAATATTGCAAAATGAAGCAAATAAGGTTACCAGAAACACGCTTGTTGTTAGGATTACCAGATTATTAAAAGTAAACCCTGTTACTATGAATAAAGTGTCGTCCAAATTAGCGGGGCTCTACGGTAGATTTAATTTCAATATTTCGCTCTCAAAATATCAACACTTCTAGCGATCTTGGAACGTGAGAAGTGTATTAAGATACACAAGAACCTTTTGAACGAAAAGAACAAATTGTCGCACTAGCAACGTGATCATATTGTATCTACATATTCACACGGATCGATGTTATTCAGTCAAGTGACGTGATTTCTTTGTCGTATACCTTTAGCGTTTTCAAATAAACAAGAAACCGGCATACATATTACGATCGAAACAAACAGTTTTTTTTTAAAGTAACTACGAAATCTCATCCGTACATGATTGTGGGAATCATTCTTCATCCAACAGTAAACATTTGACGTCACGCATCACTTTGTCCAATGCTAATGAAATAAGAGATTGTTCCACTAAGATTATAACCTAACAGGTTCGTTAACCACGATCTTCACCTTGATCAAGAACAAAAAACTTACTAGGGGCCCACCGATGAATCATTCAGTAAATGCGAAACACACTATTAATCTTAAATTTTCTGCCGATGATTGACCCCACGCCAAACCGGCCGGCCGTAGATAATTGTCGCTGTATCTGATGTTCGGAACCTGTTTTACCGGTGCAGACGATTTGTCAAGCTACTATCAACAACACCCCCGCGCGCGTTTGGAACCTGTTTGCCGCAATGTCTGCCTTTTTCCTAGTTGAGAAGGGACGATCGGTCGTTAATATGAAGTTGTGCTTGATCAAACTGGAAAACAGCTTCGGTGGATTTTCATGTTCACGTTCTCGGAATCACTATCGACCACTATTGACCGGCTGGTACTGTCAGAAACGGCCAAACGATAGCCATGAGCGCATAGTAATTGACTTACAACCAAAACTCTGGATTTCCCCACCTATTGGGTGTTTCTTTATCAGTATTTTGAATTGATGTACAGCTCATGCTTGCTCTCTGAGCGCGCTAGTCCATGCGGTTATCGATCAGAGGAAAGAAGTAAATGCTACCATTCATATAAATACGAGCTGCATCAGTCTAGTGTCATCAAGTTCAGTGCTACAGTTCCCTCTCTCACTACTAATCGTTGGGCAATTCCTTGTTTTGGTTGGGAAATCTCGAATCCAAAGTCAGTACTAAGTCGGTTACGTTACAGATAGGAAGTCTCTCTAGGATGAAGTATTTCGTAGGAGCTGTTATGGTGGTCACGTTGGCCTTTGCCAACGGCAACGTCGGTAGGTTCAATGAATATAACGTGATCGAATGAATGGGTATTAATGGTACATCTTATTGACAGTTCCGTTGCATCGGCATACAAGGGACGTTGGTGGTAGTGCGGCTACTGCGGGTTCCCAATCGGCTAGTGGTGCCGGAGGATCGGGAGCTCAAAGTGGAAGTGCTGCTTCTTCATCTTCCCAATCGTTCGGTCAGTTCCCACAGCTCGGTGCACCGTTCGGACAAATGCCATTGTTTAACCCGAATCAATTTGGACAGTTCGCACAGTTTCCGCAGTTTGGACAATTGCCAGGATTCGGTTCCGGATCATCAAGCGGTGCCTCATCCACTTCGTTCGGCCATGGAGGTCACGGTGCACAGACAGGATCGCAATCTGGATCTACATCATTCTCGTCTGGTGTTGGAGGACATGGTGGTTCGGGATCGACGGCTGGTTCACAATCGTTCTCTTCCGGAGCAGGTCACGGTGGACAGAGTGGATCAGCATCTTCTGCTGGATCGCAATCGATCAGCAGCGGACACGATCATGGAGCACATGGAGTAGTTGGAACCGGTTCGCAAGCCGGGGCACAATCGACTTCTACTGGGCAGGGTCATGGTGGCCATGGTGGTGGTGTTGGAAGCGGTTCCCAAGCCGGGGCACAATCAACTTCTACTGGACAGGGTCACGGTGGCCATGGTGAACATGGAGCAACCGGATCGGCCTCGCAGGCTGGTTCTCAATCAACTTCCTCTGGACAAGGCCATGGTCATGGTGACGCAAGTGGTTCCCAAGCCGGATCCCAATCACAAAGCCAGGGTCCATCTTCCTTTGGACATGGTGGTCAACGGACAGAATATAGCCAGCAGGGAGATGGGTTCGGTGTACGAGTGAGCACTGATGAATCAGCTGATGGAACCAAAAAGAAGTCCGAAAGTGAAGCCTGGGTGTGGCAAAACTGAGAAACGATTGATGAAATAAACACAAAATATTTCCGATTAACATGACAAGAATGACTTTCAATTCTATGACCGTAAGCTCTACCTTATTTGTAAATTTCATTTGTGTAGATTGCGATCTGGAGTTTACTTTTTTTTTTGCTGACTTCTCTGGAGAATACCCCGTGTGCCGTGTGCGCACAAAAGAGGAGCTTGATAAGCCATTTTTCTCTTGTGTGTATTTATATTTACACGAGACGAGAACGCGAGAGCCGGTCAATCAAAAAATGGACGGGTTTTTATGGCTAGAGTAATTACAATCATATATGCAGAAAATGTTTATAAAGGGATGGCTAAGTTAAGAGCCACTCAATACCTTCCGTTTCATTCGTGCAGCAAGATTTGCAAGCGGCAGACGGAATTATGGGAATCTCTAAATTGGTTGGATTGATCATAGTGGCTGGTTTCGCTAACGGTAAGTGATCTGCATTTTTTGTTTGTCTAATTAATTCGGTGAACCACTTCGAACCAGCTCCCATTATCAAACGTAATGCTGACAAACAAGATCATGGAGCAAATTCAGTTTACAGTCCCGAATAGATTAGAAAAAGTCGTGACCCGAAAACAACACAAATTGATAACCCACTTTCCGAATTTTCAGCCCAGACCCATGGATTTCAGCCGAATAACTACCCCCCTAATCAGATAAATGCCTGGGGCTCAGCTTGCCGCAATTTCCAGCAACAGCAACTCCAAACGCAGGCCGCTCAGAATCAGTTCTTTACGCAAACATTCCCGCAAATTGCTCTGCCTCCGCTACCGTTCATGGACCTCTGCGGTCAACTGGGAGGTGGCGGTGGATCCGCTCACAGTGGAGCCAGTGCCGGGGCTAGTTCGTTCTCCGATGGACTTGGCAATCGCTTCGGAGGCAGCGCTGGATCCGGTGGCGTACATGGTGTCAGTGTCAGTACCGGCTCGTTCCCCAATGGTCAATCGGGAACGTCGGTTACGCATTTCGGTCCCGGAGGGGCCAGCACGAATCATTATAATGGTCAAAACGGAGGTGGCTTTGCCACGGCTAACAGATTTGATAGCGGAAATGGAGGCAACAGTGGTGCCAGCTTCAGTTCGTTCAGTGGTACTCCAGGAAATGGTGGATTCGCGACGGCCAACAGGTTCGGTGGTAGCGGAGGCAGTTCGTTCGGTGCTTCGTCGTCGTCATTCCCGAATGGAGGATTTGGAGGAAACGGTGGTGGTTACTCGGGTGTGGGAGTAAGCTCGTTCGGTGGAAATGGTGGAAATGGCGGAAACTTTGCCACAGCTAATCGTTTTGGAGGAGCAGAAGGAGGTCAGACTTACACTGCGCACGGACAACATGGAGCTGGGATTAGCGTTTCCAGTACCAACGATGGTCATGGCAACGTGCAAACTCATGTGCAAAAGCAACAATATTAAGAAGTAGTTTCAGACTAACAAGTCTTTTGATTTAGATTAGAAACCCGAGTAGCACACTTCCGTTAAGAAAAGTTGCAGCAACTTGTTTATGACTGAAATAAGTCGTAAAGAAGTTTCTACAACCGATATGTGACAAGCGTGCTACTAGGGAATGTTGAGCAAAGTTTAACGTGAATAAAGAGAACATTTTATACATTAGTGCGTACTTTTGTCAATCTGTCCATTTGAAAACTCTATCAAATTTGGAAAACCACTAAGTATTTGGGAATGTCTTGCTTTACCAACTGACGAAACGTGACCAGAGATATTACCTCGTGGGGCTGTCCGTATACAACGTAAACACATTGGTCGTCAAATGTCCAAAGCCATATATGTTTTTAAATGTATGGAAAAACTGGACAGTCCTGTGGAAAATCCAAATGGATTAATGCATCACAGCTTGACATGATGGAATACTTGCATGGTACTCTCCAAATATGTGATAGGTTTGTATACCAGTCAACTTGATTGGTGATTTGTTTTCTGTCGGTTTGTTTTCCGTACTGAGTACCAATGCTACCGACGCCAGGAAGGCAGCTCCCACGCACCTGGACCCTACCTATCGACCCATCAACTCGTGGACCGGGGACCAACGGCTTTACTTCCCTTCCGAAGGAAGGCGTGATCAGAGATTTTATGCCTCAGAAATTCCCGGCGGCCTTTTGGGGTGAGAGGCAATCACGCTAACCACTACACCACCGGCGCCGTTATAAAAAAAATAGAAAAGATTATCAAATGCATAGTTGTTTCTACATATCTCTTCCGGAAGCTGATGTCCGATCCAGATGAAATCCAATAGCGTGTAATTGGATATTTTACCTAAATCAAATGAAACCTGTTTCACTTGCATCTATGCCGTGTGTGGATACATGATCAGTACACTCAGTACATTACAACAGGCGCAGATTTCGCGATTTTCGCGGATTTTTCGTGGATTTGAACGTTCAGTCGTGGAAATCGTGGAAACATTAAATGATGTCGTGAAAATCACCAAGGGACTGATTGGCTATAATAAAAATGGCCAACATTCCAGTCTAAACAGTCAAACAGTCAAACAGTTAAAGTTAGAAACCTTAAATTTTATGAGTATTCAACCTGTTTTAAGCAAAATATATTAAATTAAGATTACCAGTACAGACTTTTATATTGGATTTAAAATCTGGGAATGCAGTGTTTAATTTAAATGCAACATTGCAATTGAAATCTGTAAATTGCGTTGCGATGTTACGATCAAGCTCGCTTCACGGCAACGGGACAGGCGTGCTGTGTCATAATAGACACGTATTTTACAGGTTTTGTATTATGACAGTTAACATATCAAAGTTAACCTAAGTGATGTTGAGAACATATCGTTTCAGAATAATGAAAGCATTTCAAATATTGCCTGCAATTTTAATAATGTATCTCTGTTGTTTATCTATCAATATTATTTGAAATTATAAGGGCTTGTTATTCGTTTCTCATGTTCTCTTGTAAGTTTATCTAATGAAATTCAAGTAGCATTTTAGCTGGTCTGGTCTTTTAGATTTCCAGTTTTTTTTTCTAATTGTGTTAAACAAAATTATTTTTGGAACCAGTAACGCTGGTTGATCACCTTTTAGTGGTGTATTACTGGTATAAGATCTGCCACCTTACAACTTCTAACTAGGAGAACATGACTTTTCAGTAATCAAAGGAACACATTTTAGTTCTTGTTACTTTTTATATAGTCAATAGTGACAAGCCGCGCATAGTGACCACCTCCGTTATGATTTTTTATATTGTTTATTCCAAATAAAAAGTATTGTTTATGTTCATAGAGTATATATGATCCTTTTCCTTTTGTCCTTCTCCTTGTCAGAAAGCGAGTAATGGCGCTATAACCATAAGCCAAACAAACCTAGGACAAGAGTTAGTGCTCATGACCCAACCCTCAGAGGAAAATGAAGCAACTCGTAATCTTTCTAGCCTAGATGCTTCCAACGACCAACCAATCATATAATTACCAAAACCGGAACGTACGATACGAGACGTTCACGTTTCATCCATTTATTGGATTTTAGAGTATCGTGTTTGAATCTTTGATTTAAACAGGATCGATGTTTTCTGAATCATCTTGCCCCTTAAATGCTGCACAGTAGGTAGGCCTGACCGTTTTGGTATGTGTGAAGCAACTTCGATGTTTAACATATCTAGATGGAGCTGGAATTAGGGCCTAACAGCTTTTGTAAACAATGAATTCTATCGATGATTTCTAGAAATTCAAGGCTCGCCCACGCAAACCAACATCCTCATCGGGTAGGGAAAGACTTCCCCAATCCGATGGTTGTATTCGTCTGCGTGAGCGTGCCTTGAGTTCCTAGAAATCATCGATAGAAGTCATTGTTTACAAAAGCTGTTACGCCTTAATTCCAGCTCAATCTAGATATATCAAATGGACAAGAAAAATGAAAGAGGTATATCCATAATTTTCAAGGATACTCTCAAAAACTGGCTGTGTTGGGTTAGATTAGATTAGATTGCACACTTAAAAATAACTAATTTTACACGGGACGTAATCCATATTGGACGTAAATCGTGGAACGTAAACAAACATTTCATGTAAAATTAAGTGTTCTCAAACCGAAACATAAGCAAATCGACGAAGAGAACGTTTCATTGCATTGATTTTCACGTCTTATGTCAAAAGGACCGGTTACATGTGTCGGTCCCAGGGAACCGAAATTTACATGACATTTTCGTAGTGTGTATATTAGATTGCGTTAAAAACATGTTATTTTTGGTAAAACAACATTTTTTTCAACATACGATTTCAAGGCATGACAATCAGTTTTAAGAAATCAGTTTTACAATCAAAACCATTAAAATTTTAAGTTTAACATTTACTTAAGTTAACAAAATCTAAGATCTCATAAAACATCAAAGCCTTAATGTTCCGAACTCCAACTCCAAGATCTGGAAACTTTACAAAGTGTCAACATTTCAGAATTAGAAGAATGAAGTCTCTACCATTTGAGCCTTATATTTCAAAGTACGGCATTTTGCTAGTTTTGGAACTCGAAAACTTCTCACGTTCCCTAATCTGCTCCCTAATCCACCCACCTTGTCCGTAATATTTAATTCTAAATGAAATACCCTGAATCCAGAGTTTCAATTGTATCCCAAACTTTGAATCTTGATCCTTTGTCTGTGTACAGGTTCTTGAAATATTTTATAGATAAATTGAATTCTCTTATCATTTCAATACTCTTTTAAATCTTCTGCAGAACAATATTGTGAGGGATTTAATTATCGATTCCCAAAGAATCACCCAGCGTGATAATCAAGCAGTGGAAGACACCTTACCCCTACCACAGACAAACAGACGTAACACTTTGAAAAAGTTTTTCTTGAAAACATAGTATCTCTAAACATAGGACGTCAGTAACGACCGATGTGCGGTAGTTTCCTTTCTCCTCACCTCTTTTACCGCACATCGAGTAACGACATCTCTCTGGCTTCTCGCGGAAAACAAGATTGCTCGCTAACTTGCAAACAATATTGCATAAAAGTTCTATAGAATGTATAGAAACGTCAAAGTGATCCGATGCC